TGTTCTGTATAAAGTGCAGCATCAAGACAGATAATGCATTTTTTGGAAGAGCGATTTTAATGCTGCTGCGCTGAGCCCGGTGCTCACCTGTTATCTTGTGTTTTGACCTTCCTGATCAGTGCTTGAGAATAACAGTTACCTCACCTTTTTGTGGTGGTTGCTCTGACTGGTAATTAATGGTGGATAGCTCTTTTTACCGTTATGAACGTTACACAAGACTCCAAAAGAAATACCTTGGTCTGACTTGACTTGTAGGAAGCGATGCGACTGTCTCTCAGATCCTGCTGACTCAGCACGGCATTCCTGTCATGAGCATGTCTGATGGAAAGGCATACTGTTTTAATCCTTCTCTGGCTACGTGGTAAGTTATAGATTATTGCCCACTTTTATAACTTAGCTGAACTGACCTGTGTTCTGATTTACTGCTTCCCTCTGTAGTTGGAAGGTTAGTCTGAGCAGGATCCCACTCCAGGCTTAGCTTTGCTTTAGTTGACCAGGTTATGCCTAGGCTTTATGCTGTTGTTATGATTTGTGATGACAAATTTTGAAAATGAAAAACTACAGCTGATTTCATCACTCTGTCCTCCACGGTGTATACTCTTCTATTTATTAACATACACCTGTGTATACTTTTGCTGATGTGCATCACTTGAGTCTGTCAAGTAGTTGGCAATGATTAAAGGTAACCTAGCCTTACAATTCACTTCTTTTTTTTTTTATGTAAAAGAATGCAGCTCTGGAAAATTTCTCAAAACAATTTTCAGGGTTTTGCTGGGAGTTTAGACATGTTAAAATAATTTTGCCTAGTTCCCAGAGAAAATAAGACCTGTGCACCTCAGTCCTGAATGTGTATGTGCCTGGTGTTGTCAGTCCCCGTCACTCCTTAGTGTCTGTTTGAAGAGAGCTCTGTGTCTCCAGGACTGAAAAGTGTAATGGAGACAGTAACTCAGGTAGGGCAGGAGGGAAGGAATCATTATCCTCAGAGTTCCCATGGGAGAGTCATTACACAAGGAAAGGCTCCAGCAGCACCAGTGCCTCACTGGGGCCCGGGCTGTGATCAAGGGCTTTCCCCAGGGATTCTCTTAGTTCTGCCAAGGTGTAAGTTCCCGTAAAAAAATGTCCATGGTAAGTTATTTACTGTGTCTTTCCCAAACAGATCCCTTACTGTCTTTCTATGAGGAAAAAACATGTTGCAGTCTTAATATAATTGTGGTACTTAGTGTAATGAGCATGCTTGATGAAGGTGTTTATTGTTTTAATTCCTCCTTGGAATAATTGTTATTAGTCACCTGTTTGATGTGAATACTTTGGAAAGGAAAAAACACAATATTTGTTCTTTAGATCAACTGAGAAATCATGTAGAAATGTTCCCCATCAGTAAGGAGCATAGTTCTGATGTCCCTGCCTGCTCTCCTCAAACCTGGTGTGTGTTTTTTTCATTTCAGGAATCTGGTTTCTGACAAACAGGACTCTCTGGCACAATGTGCAGACTTCAGGAACAGTTTACCATCCCAAGAAGCCATGCTGTGTTCTGGGCCCTTAGCTGTAATACAGGGACGGACATCAAAGTACGCGCTTCACTGCTTCGTTTCATCAACTTCTTTGCCTTTTATTCCCCTGTTACTTACCCATGTGCTCGAATCAGGGAGTTAACTTTTAAGACTTTTAATAGCTCCCGCCAGCAACTGGGACCATGCAGCCACTCGCTCACCCTCTTCCCCCAGAAGAGTGGGGAAAGAGGAGGGGAAAGGGAAAAGAGCTCGTGGGTTGAGATAGTTTAATAGAACAATAATGGAAAAGGAAAATAACAATAATAATGATGACATGGGTCATTCTCACCGCATTCCCTTGTGGATGAAAGGGAATTAATTGGGAAAAATAATTGAAGTCCAAGCAAACAACACTCTCTTCTTGAGAGAGAGAAAATATCGGACTAAAAATTAACAGTTTCTTTCAAAAAGGAAATAATTGGTTACTTTTTTCAAATTAACTCTCTTCCGACAATAGATTTATTTGCAAGAAATCCTTTCAGTGCTTTAGGCTCACTTTGTCTTCTGTTTGTCCCGTGACTTTTCCCTGGGAGGGGCAAAGAAAGGTGAAGGCAGTCACCTGAATTTCCCATAAACAGTCAGGAGCCCTCAGTCACTGAAAAGCGTGTGTTTTTAAAGAGTAGGCAGGTGAAAGGAAGAGAAGAAGAACAGGAGGCAGGAAACCCTGCGTGGACCTTGGAAAATGGTCCTCTGGGGCGAAGGCAGTTTGTGATGAAGTGAGAAGCTTGAGCTCGGGGGGCTCTGGGTGTGTGGGGATCAGTGTGTAACAGCTCCTTCTGCAGACACAGACTCCCTAAAGGAGCATCTGAGCTAACGCTGGCACCTTGATCTCCCCTGGTTTGCAGCTCGGGACGGCAGGCTGCCAGGCTGTTCTCCATGCCCCACCTGGTGCAGCAGGAGACCACGCTGGCCTTCCTGGAGAGCCAGGTGGCGGCGGCGCTGACGCTGCAGTCCAGCCACGAGTACCGCCACTGGCTCCTCATCTATGCACGGTACCTCGTTAACGAAGGTGAGCCTGCCGCGCGCTCGCATGGGTGTTAATGAACGCTCTGCCTGTTTAATGAGAGCCTGATGAACTGCACGTGGTTCTCTCTGTCCTTCCCCAGTTGAGATTAAAATGTTGATAATGGGTTATAGGGTAACATGACAGTCGCGCCTGTAAAAGTCTTTGCTAATTGAACCCCTCTGTCGTGTGGGGGATCCCCCTGCCTTGCACCCAGGACATCACTGCACACTCTGCTTTGCTGTGCCTGCAGCTTCCCAGGTCTGCTAAACTGCCAAAAATTGTACATCCTGTTAGTTACCCTTATCCCTATGATGATGTCAACACTTAGTGAATTCTAACCCTTTAGAATATTCAGTCTCTTATACCTGGATTGGCAATGTACCCTTTGATGGATGGCTTTGTTGGCTCTTAAAACAAACTGGAGTCACTACTACAGTTTTTCTCCCTATTGTAGATCATCTTTAGTAGTTTTTTTGGTTTTGAGAGCTTAAAATAAAACCCTTTGGAACTCTAAAACAAATCCATTATAAATCATCTTATCTTTCCAAAGATTTGCTGTTAAAAGAATATGCTTTTTCAGAAATCGATGGGTTTGCTTTATTTTATTGTAGATACTTGTAACTCTTCCCTGAAGGTTGTCAGTTACGCTGTGCAGCGCTTATATATAGTGAAATGCTTACGAACATGATTTTATTTTCCGATAATATTCAGGGTTTGAATATCGTTTGCGAGAATTATGCAAGGATTTACTGGGTCCAGTCCATTACTCAGCTGGAAGTCAGTGGGAATCAACAGTTATGGTAAGTCCTGATAATGGTTTAGCAAAGAACAAGAAAGGATTTCCCATGAAAACAGATGGGCATAGAAACATAGAACACAGATGGACAATAGAACTTGCAATATGATCAAGCTTAGTGGCAAAAAAGCAATCCCAAATTCTTTATGCTGCCTCTGGGCCCCTCTCCATGCTCTGCTCCTGTCTCACAAGAGGCCTTCCTCCCCTGGCATGTGGGTTTATTTCATGGAGACCACAGACAGGTGCTGCGTGGTCGTGTCTTGGGGTCTCTGTGCTCTTCAGAGGGCAGGTTTGAACCAGTGGGGTGCTGATGGAGCCCCTTCCCTTGGCGGAGCACGTCTGGAGGCTGTAACTGCAGAGGCTGCGCCGGCTTCGTCAGCGGGTATCCGTGTAACGACCGGTTTCATTCTGCGAGTCACATAAGCAGAGTGAGAACATAAAATACACAGCCCTCCACAGGCAGGAAAAAAGGCTTGAATTGAACACAATTCTGTGAAATACCTTAATGATGTCGGGTAACACATTCTGAGGATGCTTCTGTGTTTCTTGTGCAGGGTTTACGAAAGAGAGAACTATTGAAAGAGCTTCTTCCTGTTATTGGACAGAACCTCCGCTTCCAGAGGCTTTTCACGGAGTATCAGGAGCAGCTGGACATCTTGAGAGACAAGTAGCATTTCCCCCGATTTTCCCTGCGGGGCCTGGTCCGAGAGAAACTGCTGAAGAGCGTTAGGCAGAGGCAGAGGAGGAGCCGGGAGCCGGTCGCAGGACTCTCCTGAGGAGGGCAGCGCCGGAGGGGCCCGGGGGCCTCCGCAGCCACCGGCTTTAGTTTTTAACGAAGCTCAAAGCTCACGAGGGGATTCGTGGAAACGAGGAGTGGATGAGCTGGACCGTTTCCGAGTGAAACTCAACCATCGAAGCTGTGGCCTCTGTTTCTGTGGAAAGCCGTGGATTTGTACTTCAGGGGGTCCTTTTGGACCTGGATCTCATTTAATACAAAACTAGCTGAGAACTGTTTGTGGGGTTTCTTGGATGTCCTGTGAAAAGCACAGTACTTCAGAGTACACTGAACAGCATATTTAACCCTGTTTAGGGGTTTTTGCCTGAGGATTTATTGAGGCTCAACACTATATTAAATTAGATGAATGAGCCACATAAAAAGAAATTTCATAAATATTAAGGTATTATGCAGCCAATAGACTCTTTCCTGTGAATATAATAATAATAATAATGAGGCTGTTCTAACACATGGACTATTTTTGTACTAGAATTTGCTAACTTGTAATATGGAATTTTATTTGGCCGATAATCAGGCTGTCTCTACAAAGTCATCTTGTAGGAAATTTAACTCTAATGACAAAAGCTATGTTTCAAAATAATTCTACCAAATTAACATGTCATCATCTGGTTTTTAATTTTTAAATGTTTGTAAAAGGCATTTTGGGGGAGGGGCAGGGGGAGGGGGTACCATGGGGCGGCTCTTTTTGTAAGTACAAAAATAAATGAACATTGCATTGGTTTAAAAAACAAAAGCTGGGGACCCTGGTCTGGAGTTATTACAAAGGGCATCTCCAGGAGCCTCAGTGCTGGCTGGATCCTGTTAATGCCTCCAGAAATAAATCATCTGTGTGGGTGACCTCCCGTTGAGGGGATGGAGAGGGGCTCGCTGTCCCGTGGCCCTATTGTGGGGTCCTGCAGCCCCTCGGGGATCCCACCCAAACCCTCCGGGTGTGGGGAACCAGGAGGGTGTTTGTGCGGGTTCTGCCCAGGTTTTGATGGTTTTGAGTAAGAAAATCAGTACTGCAGGGAGTGAGCGTTATCTCAGCCCCTGCTGGGGGTCGTGGGCTGTTCCCTGCCAGGGCTGAGGCCGGAGGGAGCCCCCGAAACCACGGCGGGACGGGACGGGGCAGCGTGTTCTGAACCACCCGGGACCTTTGATTAATTCCAACAATTTTACTTATTGGAAAGACCAGGGACCGTTGATTAATTAACGGTTCGGAGGGGGCAGGTCCCGGGGCCTCAGACACCCCAACACCCGCCGAATCTCCCTCAGCCCTTCCCCGGCGCAGGGGCGGCGGCGGCCGCAGCAAAAACCGGAATAAAATTAGATTTACCGCGGGACGAGCGCGGGGAGGAACCGCCGCCGCGAACCCCGGCCCCGGAGCGCCCCCCGCCGCCCCTCCGGCCCGCCCACCCCCGG